GTACTGTTAAAGAATGAAAGCGTTTAGGATATGGTTCTGTTATTGGCTGTGTACATCTTTCTGCAGAGACCACAATGCTAAGTGTTTGATTTTGGAAGTACAGTATAACCTCCTTGTTTACATCAAGACCAGGAAGATGAGATGACATGTATATTTGAAGACAAGATGACAAAACCCTTTAAGACAGAAGATTCAGTGGGAGAACAGTATAAAGAATTGGTTTGGGATTACTATGATAGTGACCAAGAAGACTAAAGACAGGAGTCTATGGTCTAGTTCTGCTCATGTTGCAAACTGCTGTCATATGTGATTAAGGTAGCATATACCCATTACATAGTGTTATCTACGTTTTAGCCTTTTTGTCAGAAATAACATCTTCATACTATGCTCTTTGTATGAAAATATATTGAAATAGGTACAAAGACATATTCTGGCACATGTTATGTAACATTATCACAGTGGCTAATTAGCATATTATAAAAATAAAGAAGTACAAAAGAAATGTCTTATGATCCTGATAATTTCTACAAACATTACTGAATGCTCTTGAAAATGGGTCCAGACTTTGATAGGATGTAAAGTTAGTCTGAAGTAAGGAAAACTTTTAAAATTAATTAACGGTCAAGTTATGGCACTAATGAGAATGCCCTAAGTATGACATATGCTACAATGACTTATTAATGGTCATTTAATAAAAACCAAACCTCTTATCAACTTTACCTAAGTATGCCCTATAGATACACTAATAATACATATTTATGCCAATTGTGAAGTCTATAGCATCAACAGATCTGAAGTTATGAATTAAAAATCACTATGAGGATGTCAATTTTCAGATGTTGTAAAAAAAAAATGTGTTTGCAAATTTAGGCACAAAATTGTCACTTTAAGGGTCTTTGTCTAATTGAAAAAGATGTATTTCATCTTGAAAATTGGAAAACTTGTAACCTTAATATTTCTGGGTATTAATAAACTTCTAGAGCATAAGTTATACCCCCCTTGTCTTTCTTGGACTCCTCAACTCATTTTTTTTACATTTTTTCTTTAAGGGTCTTTGTCTAGTTGAAAAGGTATATCACCTCCTGCAAGTTGTGAAACTTATACCCTTAATATGTTTCTGGGTATTAATAAACTCCTAAAGCATAAGTTTCACCCTCCTTGTCTTTCTTGGACTCCTCAACTTTATTTTTGATGTTTCTTCTTATCTGTTGCTGTTTTACTCCTTTCATGGAGGCCTTGTTTTGTGCTTCAAATAACCTCTTTTTGTCTGCATTAGTAAAGAATTTGTTGGTGAAACTTCTATTACTGATGTTAAGCAACTTGAGTACCTTCTTCCCTAACTGCATCCCATCATTGAAAGTACTGACAGCATCATCAGCAGCCCATCTTATACATTTTGCACTGACAAAGGTGTTCTTGGGACAGCGATTCCATATCACACAGTTTAGGAACACATTAGCATTTTGAGTGATGCAACCTAAGCATTTTGTCAGGAGCTCATCACTAGATAACCTTTCATACATGGGCTTGATGGCTTTCATTACACTCTCTGGCACAGAATGCTTGTGTGAATATCTGAGCTAGTGGCCTTAGCTTTTTGGAATACACACCAAGAATCTTCACCAGTAGGGCACAAGTGATGATGAAGTTTGATGTCAGTTGACATTTTGAGGTACCAAGTTGCCCAAATTGCATTTTGCATTCCTTCCAGATAGCCTTTGTTTGAGTGTATAGCTCCCCATACCAGTTCTGAAGAGTATCAATAACCTTATCAGTGATTCTATCAGCACCTCTAATTCCCTTCCATTGCTTTCATACCTTTCATATATTTTTTCAGACTTCTTAAAGCTGTTCTTAGCCTTTTTTGAACATGTCCTACACACACTTTTTTTCTCTACAATTCTGTCTCCATATGGTTTTGACTCCTTCACTGTATGGAAGGATTTACTGTTGCCATTGCCGATGCATGTTGTGTATCTGAGGCCTCTTTCCTTCTCAGATCTTTGAAATATCCTCATCATACCTACTGGTTTCATTGAAGGCATAGAACCATCATAGTTTGCTAAGCAAACTCTATGATGTTCCTCTTTCTCCTTTGCTATCCTACTTTTGTTTGAAGAGTAGGAATAACAGTACCTACTCAGCAGTTCATAGTCCATGACTATCCCACTTGAAAGAATAGTGACAACACCATGTAAGGAAGAGTAGTCACATTTCTGCCAGGTACCATCACATGTGACAGATGTTTCTGTAACTTTGCCATATTTTTGCAAATCTTCAGCAGCTTTTTTTCATCCTTTCACTGGCATCTATTTCAGTGGGATTCAAAACAGATGTGAAACTCTTGTCTCAAGACATCTGCATACTTGGTGGGTTCATGTTCATAACACCACAAAACATTCTCCGGCAGTCCTACCCTTCCTAATGCATGATATAGCATACATAAATTGCTTGTTAGTAGCAATTGAGTTCTTTACCATTTTATACTTGTATGCCAAACTTTCTCATGATAGTTCATTCCTGTCACACAAGATTTAGAGAAGCAGTAAGTCCACTTCTATTGGTAATTTCTAAGCTGAACTTTTCCCCACACAAACAGTGGCAGAATTCACTTGTTACTTCTGACAGAATGTCCATATCAACAAACATATTACCACTTTGGATACAATCTTGTGAAATCTTTTATTTTCTTTGGTGGGGTCCCTTCAGAAGCATACAAATGTCTACATTTTCTCTTAGAACACTTTGCACCATGGAATCGTGTCAGAGATTGAAGTTGCAGAACTGTTACCGGCACTATGAGTACTTGTGGCAACTCAAGTGGTTCACTTGTACTGTTACAAAGCTTACCAGTCTTCTATTCACTCAATTGTTTGTTTCTGGTGAATCTGTTACCACGAAACATCCTCTTTGATTTGTGAGGACCATGCTTTCTGTCCATCCTCAAATATTTAGGATTTACCATGGGAATATACACTTTTGATGGCAAGTTAGACTACAGGAATGAGTAAAAGCACTTTCTCTGTTCAATACATAGAGTTTGACCTTCATGATTTGTCCATTACTTCAAAGGGTGTAGCAAGAACATAGCATTTTGATAAGCAGGGGGGGAATTACAGACAAATTGACTAAAAGTGCATCAAAACAAAGAGAAAACCAACAATTCTGGATCACATTGCCATAGAAATGGAATGTAAATAAAAGTATTTAAATGGAAAACTTTTTATTTTTATACTTTTTTAAGGGTTTTTAGTTTAGCTAAGACTTTTTTTTTTCGCACTGGACATATAAACGTAAAGGGTTTAAGTATTCAAAATATGCAACAAAATAAATTTTGATATTTTTTGACATTTAAAGGATATGTGCTACCTTAATCTGATCTGCCGTTTGTTTTTATATATTTTTTATTATCAGTATGTTTCCTTATTGTTCATTTCAGTTTAATATGCATGAAGTTTTACATAGATGTTTATTATTATCTGTGTGTGTCACTTCAGTTTGAGTATTATTTGGTGGACTTTATTTGAGGTTTCTTTATTATTCAATTATTTGATTTATATATGTTAGATTTGGATGAACTTGATCCACTCTCAGGGTCATAAACTTGCTTATTCTGTACAATTTGCCAGATCAGTTGATTCCTAGGTGCATATTTCTTATAAGGTAGACAGACAGTGAAATATTGCATAAATTGGTATAATATAGTGTGATTCGTGAGGTGAAACTGCAGATATCAACTGTGTAAAGACAAGTACAGATATTGGGGAGCTTGCAGCTGGACTGCAAAAACTTGTTTTCCAACTTTTCTCTGTTGGAACTTGTTTGTTGCCTGACTGTGGACATGTCTGGGAGGATTTCTTGGTTCACGACCTGTGAAGGACAAATTATTGTATACAGAGGCATGAAATTATGTGGTTCTTTATTGTACAATATGTGTGTGAAATTTTTGCTTCGTGAGCTCGCCTTGAAGAAGTGTACATCTGCATTTTTGAATATTAGTTCACTTAGTACTGTATGTTAATTACCTGAGCTGTCAGGGAATGCCGTTATGAAACTTTTAGAAATATAAGACGGGTATTATAGAATGGCCTTTGTGAGTACTTTGACATTATTTCTTTGTTAGATAGTAGTAATTTTTTTACAACATAACATTTGTAGATGTGTTTTTCATGTTAGGCACAAAACATGAACATTAAGCTTTTATTCTTATGTATTATACTGACAAGACAGAGAGATTAAAATTTTATACATGTGTATTAGATGTTAACCTAAAAGTTAGTATTAAATAGTTTTTCTGCCTTCTTTTACTTGTCTGTACACTTTCACTTGCAAAATGGGTATATATAGTGTTTATAAATATTTTGCGTGTAAATGAAGAATACTCAGTTGTTGGACATAAACCTGTTTGTGTATTGTGTGTTACTTTTGTAACTAGGGTTTTTAATTGTTTGTGCCTATATAATAAGAAACATGTAGTTTTGTACTTTTTTTTAACTTAAAGAACAATTATACTTTTAAGTACACATGAACTACATACTAGTTTATGTGTGTAATATATATATCTATGTTTAGCTTTTAATTTTTTTGGGCATAATTTAAGTATAAAATTGTCATAAGGTTTGAAAGTCAAAATTTGTGAACGTGATGAATTTGAAATGAATTGCATCCTTTTTTATTTCTGGTTTTTTTATAGAGTTTGAAATTATTCAGTCTGTCATGCTGAGTTATTTATTTTTATTATATATGGCTTATATGCATAAAACAATGAAGAACTTGCTATACTTACCTGTCTCCTCATTTGTGTTTTAGTTTTATATATTGCTGATGGGTATAAAAGTGATGTACATCTTGTATGACTGAACAAGTTACCCTCTAGTTAATCATGTAGTTTTCTGCTAGATCTTAACAGTAAATGCTATTGTATAAGTATGTACATATGCTGTGTAATATGATGGTGCACCTTGAACAGCAGATGAATGCTTCTATTTTGTTTTATGTAGAACACCTACACCAATGCTGAAAAGCTGCTTGTAGCAGCTGAAGAACTTGCCCAGACTGGAGAGTGTAATGCTGATGAAATCTATGGTGTTGCTCAGGAATTGGAGGCTCACATTGCCAGTTTTGCCTCTCGGGTAGAGCAACGGCACCGACTTCTTCAACTGGCTGTAATGTTCTATACACACGACACGGAGGTAAGATTCTTGGTTCTTGTATGTTAGTTGAACCTTAAGGATTGTAAGCTTCTTATGTTGAAGATTGTTTCTTTTTAATTTATTCATGATAAGCAGTTTAAGTAAATTTTTAAATTTTAAGTTTCATTTGAATATTATAATCTAGAGAAATTCATTGGATATCATAGGATCTATTTGAAAGCATTAAAAATGTATTAATGGAGCACAGAGGTGAACATAATAAAAACTTAAATTATAGTACAAACAAATTAAAATATTTTAGCAATTCAAGATTTGTATTATGTTACAAAAAATATCTTATTATTTAATTGGTAGGGAGAAAACTTGGGTTTTTTGTATGTGCAGTATTTTGCTTTGGAATCACTGTTTTCATTAATGATGATATACGAGTTCATTATTAAACCTTGGCCAGGTCCTATACAAAGTAGAAAAACAAAACATTTCAATATATGTAATCTAATATATTACATGTGTACACAGAGGGGATATTTTTTCCCCTCAGAATAAATAGATAAGGAAAACATCAAATTTTGGTATTAATTCACTTTAGTATTGTTTTGAGATTTAGTTCTAGGACAACTGGTTATGAAAAACAAATATACGGTAAAAAATGTAAATTAAAATAACTGAATGCTCAAATCATATTTAAAACTTTTTAAACATATGACATTGTCACACATGCTTTTCTTGTTGCATGTGATGCAGTTTAAAGATCTTACAAGTTATGCTGCCTAGTATTATATTGAATTTTCTTCTTTGATTTTGACCAAATTTTTACCTTAATATAATCTTTTTATTTTTAATAATTTTTAACACTTAATTTTTTTCTAAGTCTGTTAAATTATATCCACACCGAAATGAGTATTTTTCATATCTTGTTCATAGGATTATTGTTCTTACTCACTTTCAAGCAAGAAATTTTTCTTGTTTTATTAACTGTATTTATCAGAAATTTCTATTGTTCCTAGCTATCATAGTGATATTGTATGTCTAATGTAGCTTATTTACCTATGAATGTTAACACTATTCTTTCGTTAAATGAGAAAAAAAGCTGTTTGCTGTCAAACTACGTACAGATGCATTTTTAGAAATTTGAAAAGATACGTATTCCACCATGCCATGAAAAAGATAATTTGCAAAAAAAAGAGAAAAGTTTTCATGTTTTTAAAACTTAGCTGAATAGTTGGTTTGAAGAACTACGAGAGGAACTTCAAAGTGAAAAAGTTGCTGAGACAGTAGAAGGATCTGAAGACTTGCTTCAGCAGTTTGATCAACAGAGAGATTCTACAGGTGAAGCAGCCATTCGAACTATAAGTGAAGGAGAAGCATTACTAGAAGAACTTAGGTTGGTTATTAGGGATTTAAGAATTGAACCTTAAGTAAAGATTCAGTTGGCTTACCAAAAAACTTAGGTATGTTTTGAGGGATCTCAGAGTAGAACCATAAATGAAGGAGAAGCATTACTAGAAGAACTTAGGTTGGTTGTTAGGGGTCTGAAATTCGCACCATAAAGTAATTTATTTTTCTAGAAGATTTTGAGTAAAGTACTATAAATGTAACGATTAAATTATAGGTTAAAGAGAAGATAGATTATTGAGGGATGTAAATGTCAGTCTGTTAACAAAGGAAAAGGATCTCTTGTCGAATTTTAATAACTTTTATTTGGACTTAAGGATGGAATTGTTGTTTATGAAATTAAGAAATGATTTGTTAGAATTTGGTGAAGTATTAGTGGAAATGAGTTGTTTAAAAGTAAAGGTTGTGTTAAACTTTTGTTGAGCATTTTTATAAAACAGTTTTTTTAAAGAGAATTTTTTAAAACTTTGGTATTTTGTTATGTAGAAAAAGTTTTTAGTATATAAGTTGATACAAGATCATTTGGATTTTAAGTTGGAATTGGTTCACTGCAATTAGATGCTACCTGCTGATTTATCCTGCAAAGTTTTAGCTTTATATTTATGATAAAAGTAAGTTAGAAGTTGATAAAATTTTTTTTGTCAGTTAGAAACATAGGTATATCCTCCATGTTCTCTGACTTTTGTTGTTTAATATTTTGAAAAGTAATTTTTATCTTGAACGCTTTCTTTTTTATGTATTTTTAGGAATAGAGATTTACCAAATGATTCTTTAGCTACTACATTATTCTCTAACTATTGTTTAGTAATATCTAGGAATATAGGTATATGCTGAGTTAATTTTCACTTAATATTTTAAATATTTAGTGACACAGATGTGTTCAGAGTTTTTCCTCTTATGTTTCATAAGTACATATCAAGGAATATGAAAACAATAAGGAAGTTGTACATTAAATATTTTGATATAGTAAGGCATATGATGAAATATTACAAAATTTTAAGATATTGGAATATTGAAGTGGATGATAAAATAATCCCCAAATTTAAGGGTTTTGGAATAAATGTGTGAAGTATTATTCAGTTTTGTGTATTGTATCTCTTAACTTTTTCACTCAATGTTTAGGAACATAGGTATGACAGCAGAGACAGATGCATCTGGCTCCTTCACAGCTATTGGTGGTACCCTAGAAGCTTTAAACAGAAGTCATGAAGAACTGCAGGAACTTTGGTCAACCCGTAAACTTCGACTAGACCTGTGTCTCCAGTTGAGATTATTTGAAAGAGATGCTTTGGAGGTTAGTGATATTCAGTTGGTAAATTCAAGCTGGTAACACCACATTAAGTGAACTTAAATTAGTAAAGTCTTTGCAGTTAGTTAGTTTGTATTATTTTCCTGAATGAAACTTAATTATTTGATAGAAATTATGGCCATAAGCTTCTGTCATGTTAATTCTGTAGCCATGGGTTGGAGCCAAAGTATACATGGTATGCCCTTTTATAGAGTTACATTCAAAATTTAATTAAATTTTATGAATACTATATTATATAAATAAACATGGCATCAAAATGCAATTATAATTCAAATTTTCATACTGTACAAGTTTTAATTTCTTAATTTCAAAAGGAAATATTTGAATGACTTTTCAGTCTTTGCTTCTTTGTATCATTTGACATTTCTTTGTTGTGAATAGCCCATTTTAGATTTTTTCTACTCCTATATGATCTTCTAAGTTTCCCAAGAATTACATACACTCATACTATGGATATTCCTGATCTAAAATGTAAACTTTCAGCATCCAAGCTTCTTGCTTTATTCAGACATAAACAAATAAAGGAAACCCACATGCTACTCCTTTCCTATCACATCTTGTCTTTCAAAAAATGTCAATAATTCTCTCTGACACTTGCAATTGGATTATTTATAATCAAGAGAAAGGGAAGATTATGCTTTCTAATTTTTCTTTGAGGCTAGATTGTTCAGACAACAGGTCTGAAACATTTGGCCTCAGCTTATTTGTTTGCCGTGGTCCAAGTTCAGTTCGACCAGGTAATGCAATATTTAATGTATCAATAGCTTACTTAGAAAGACAGTTAAATTTTATTAGTTTTTAGTGTATTCTATGCTTGACAGTATTTTGTATTCTAAACTGCATATTTGAATTAAAAAATCATTTGTGAAACAACGCCAGAGTTACATTAAAAAAAAAAAAAGAAGGCTTAGTGTGCTTCTGTGGACTTTGTTGTGTACAAAAACTTGGAAAGACAATTATATATAAAACTACTAAAGGTATTATTTTTTATTAGCATTTTTTACTTATTGTTATAAAAGTAAATATAATCTAAAAATTATAAACTTGTTAGGTTAGATAAAACGTAAATGAAAAAAGAAATGTAAAAAATTCCTCTATGGGAAATGTGTGCGAGCTGCTCAACTGTGATGTAATTCAATGCTTTGCTTTACCCTAACTTGCACTAAACTTTTGCTTGGTGATTTATTGCTTTGTGATCCTAGTTTAGTAGTTAGACACTATTCAGAGAGCAATGAAACAATAAAATTAAATGAAAGCATTTGAAAAAGCTAGAGGCCTGAAGCTGTTAGGATAATTTATTGTAATTGTCTGGCACAATTTGCAGTCAATCTAGAAAAAAAATATTGTGATTTTATTTCATACTTTTTAATTGTTAATTACAGATGATTTTGCTACAGTTGGTGTTAAGGTAGAGAATGTAAGAAATAAAATATAAAGTTTTAGTGAAAAATACTTAATGTTCATTTATGAGGTTCTGGAGGATATACAAATGAAATATGAAAACTATAAGAGGAAAAGTACTTTTATTCCTAGCATGAAAATTGCTTTGCAATCAGACTAGTTAAGAGTCTGAGTCAGACAAATTTTTAAAAGAAATAATTTATTAGAATTTTTAATTTTTTAAAGTATGACATATCTGTATTGTTTTCAAAAAGCTTCCCAAATTTCATGAAGTTACACTTAGTAAATATGGTATTATAGTAAATGTTAATTTACAAATACAGACTCAGTTCAATGAACTGACCCTGTTCACTTAGGGTTAACTCATATTTTATTGAACTGTAGTACTGTAGAAAAATGTTAAAATATCAGTTTGTGTTTGTTTTGAAGTCATTCTTATTAAAGTACTGCTAATAATAAGACTAAAAAAAGGGTAATTAATAATTAGTTTCTTGGGCTCACTCAATGAAATTATTACTTGTGAAATGTTAATAAAGTGAACTTATATAAAACACACACACACACATAAAATTGACCAATTCTTCATGTAATGTTCTATAAATTATTAATAGAATGTATTGTAACACATGTAATCAACAAATGTTACTCATTTCAACTGTTTTGCTTGATTTGAAAGTTTTGGGTAATGTAGAAGAAAATTAAGTATTTTTCTTTTGATTTGTTATTCTTTCTAATGTCTTAACTTATGAACTTTTCATTATAAAGACTTATGGTATGTTTAAAACTAAAATGTTTTGTTGTGATAATTGTTGTCATAGATTCACAACAAAAGGAAGTTGTATAGTTGTAAATTCCTATTATTATTCATTAATTGTTAGCTGAAACAGTATTATGAGTCACTATGATCCTACAAAACTTGACTTCTACATAGGTTTCTTCTCAGCTAGAATTATGGGCAGAAGAGCTTCAGCATGGAGAACTTTCACATGATATGGAAGAGGCTGAGCAGTTAGTCCAGATTCACACCGAGAGTGTTACACACATGCAGCAAGCTACTTATGAAGTTTTACATCGAGGACAGGAATTATGTCAGGTATGACAAATTGTAGAAAACTGAAATGTTTTGAAGTATGTGACATTATTTTAGTTATATAATGTCAGCTATGTAAGATAGAAACTAGCATGTTTGAATAATATGCAAATATAATATGTAACTTTATATATGTTAGATTATATTTGGCTGAATTGTTCTATATATGTTAAATGATAATATAATCAGACCTTGTCGACAATATTAAATCATATAGTGGATAAAAAATGCTATTAGCATAAGATAATATCAAGTATTTAGTAGTAAGGTCTAAAAATATCATGTATAATAGATGGCAATTTGGTTAGATTGTCAAATATGTAATTAGTAATGTGGTTGGATTATGCTAAACATGGCAAGATAATTCAGGGTTATTAGATGTTAACATGATTAGATAATGTCAAGTATATTTAAGAATAGTAAGCTTGACTAATATATGTGATAGTAGCATCTGATGTTAGGTATGTTAAATAGTAGCATGATTAGATAATGTCAGGTATGTTAGTAGTGTGGTTAGGTAATTTCAGATATGTTAAATAGTAGCATGGTTAGATAATCTTAAATGTGGTAAATAGTAACATGGTTAGGTATTGTCAGATATGTTAAATAGTAGCATGGTTAGATAATCTTAAATGTGGTAAATAGTAACATGGTTAGGTATTGTCAGATATGTTAAATAGTAGCATGGTTAGATAATCTTAAATGTGGTAAATAGTAACATGGTTAGGTATTGTCAGATATGTTAAATAGTAGCATGGTTAGATAATCTTAAATGTGGTAAATAGTAACATGGTTAGGTATTGTCAGATATGTTAAATAGTAGATAATGTTAAATGTGGTAAATAGTAACATGGTTAGGTATTGTCAGATATGTTAAATAGTAGCATGGTTAGATAATCTTAAATGTGTTAAATAGTAACATGGTTAGGTATTGTCAGATATGTTAAATAGTAGATAATGTTAAATGTGGTAAATAGGAGCATGGTTAGATAATGCTAAATGTGGGAAATAGTAGCATGGTTAAGTAATGTTAGATATGGTAAATAGTAGCATGGTTTGATAACATTAGATTTGGAAAATATTAGGTCGTCAAGAAATTAATTTTGCTTTTTTTTAGATAAAAAAAAACTCAAACAACTTGTATATCAAAACAAAACATTTATTAAATGAAATAGTCTCCATTCTTATCAATGATGCTTTTCCATTTGACAAGCAGGGTGTTAATGCCCTGATTAAAGAAATCACTTGGCTTTGAAGCAAAAAACATGTTGATGTCCTCTTTAACACCTTCCACATTTTCATACATTTTCCCAATAAGATGATGTTGCAGTGAAAGAAAAAGATGGTAATCTGATGG